TATATGTTTTTCTATAGAGGCTTTTTATATTCTAATCAGTATATATTCTTATCAATATTACTATTTAGAGGATTTTCCTCTTAAAATAAGAAACTCTTCTTGGCGCCTATTTTAGTATAAAATATACTTAAAGTAAGTGGGATATCCTCAAAACAAGAATACCATTTTTTCGATGTACACACATAATAAGACATATTTTCCGCACAACATCCTGCCAATGGCTCTTTAAGACTCTAATTATTTATTCATTTATTAAGTTTAATAAACTTCACGAACCGGAGGAGATCCTCAATTTAATTTATTGATTGTTAAAATTAATTTCACTTTAAACATATACACATGTACGTATTACACACTTAACCCTTCGACCGTAGAAATAAAAAAAAAACCTACGAGAACTGTAGACTGGGTCTGCGAGACCCGCGCAACTTTAAGATCGAATATCTTCGCAAAGAATCGATATTTGTTCAACTTCTCTTTTTTTTTATCGAAAGTTTGAACGATTCTGCGTCGATAAAAAAAAAAAAAAAAAAACAGATTGAAAAAATCTCTCCAGTAGTTTCGAAGATATAAACGTTTAAGAAAAACTTATTTTTTTTTCTAGAAACGACGCGCAATTTTTGAGTGGGTCTGGAAGACCCAGTCTACGGACGAAGAGTTAAGAGATGTCAAATTAAACAGTAATTTAATTTCAAAAAATTGTAACAATATTAAAACAAGACAAGTGCAATGTATGTACGTGAGATAATATTAAAAAAAAAAAACAACAAATTTTTCCAGGCATCGAATTTCTCGGTCCGGTTTTCATCAAATTCGGCCAATGGATATCCACGAGGCGAGATATTTTCTCGCGAGAGGTTTGCAACGCAATGTCGCGGCTTCAACGACACGCAACGCCACATTCTTGGCTGCATACAAAACGCGTGCTCAACTCTACGTACGGCCCTTCCTGGCGGAAGTTATTCGTGAGATTTGACGGTGAAAGTCCGATCGGATCGGGATGCTGCGCGCAGGTACGCAGAGAGGTGATATATTATCTTTGATTGTGACTCAAACGAACAGTCATCGATCACGTATAAATCGGACGTGGTTACGTAACATTCACAAGCATTGTATAGTCATGATTTTCCCCGAGTTTATGTATCGTTTTTTACACCTTGCAGGTGTACAAAGCGTGGATCGACTTGAGCGCGATGGATGCTGCGACTAGTAAGTCTCGAATGTCGCGCTGCGCGAAAAGTAACGCAGAAAAATGTTTGTTATAATATTATATATCCAGATAGCCAACCGAGTGCAAGTTGTTGGCAACTTGCCCTACAAATATTGCTCACATGTTTTCGGCAATGTAACAAAAAAGGGTGTATCCTCTTTTCAGTATGTTCTTGCAGCAACAGTTTTTAAAATATAATGCATCGAAAAAATTATATTCTTGTAAGTAGAAGATTTTATATTTAAAAAATCTTCTTCAAGATTTTAGATGATATTCTTCTGAAATTAAGAATATATTCTTTATTTAAGAATATATAAATTAAGAATATATTTTTTATTTAAGAATATATAAATTAAGAATATATTCTTTATTTAAGAATATAGTCTTTTTCGATAGTGAGATATATATGTTTTTCTATAGAGGCTTTTTATATTCTAATCAGTATATATTCTTATCAATATTACTATTTAGAGGATTTTCCTCTTAAAATAAGAAACTTCCTGGCGCCTATTTTAGTATAAAATATACTTAAAGTAAGTGGGATATCTCTCCTCAAAACAAGAATACAATTTTTCGGTGTAACAGCAAGTTCCCAACAACTCATTTTGACAATAAACTTAAATTAATTTTCTCAACTTGTGAATAAAAATTATTGCTCACATATTGCTGACTCACTTGTCACAAACATTGGCGCTACAACAATTGATTGATAATAAACCTCAGCATATTGATACCGAATTGACAAAAAGCATTTTCGTTGTATTAAATAAAAACAAAAACACAACAGCAATTGGCGAGCAACTTAATCTATTACAATGATTTGCTTTATATTGAGTTTTCACATTTGACTATCCGGGTATGTATATATAAAATAATATAGAGAGAAATCACTTAAAACATAAATTCAAAAAAACATATGTACAAATTAATCTAATTTCTTTATTTTTAAATTAACGTGAAAGATTTTCTTTTTACGATATTGCGTAATTATATATCGCGCGTGTGACAAGTAATTGAAACAAAACGTGATTTCATTGCTACATACATATATATATATATATATATATATATATATATATATATATATCGCCGCGATATTAAAATAATGTGTTTATTTTTATTTCGTTATTTCAGGTTCGTTTCAAGATTCAGGCTTAGATAAAACTCCCGACGAAAGTATTGAATTTACATTTCCCGATCCGCGCGCCAGGAGATTACGAGCCGTAGCGGTAAAAGTGTTGCATCCCGGAATCACGGACCAACTCAAGTACACACATTTGTTTTGAAGAGATAGTTTTCTCTTCGACGAACACCCGAAACCAAAACCGTATCCTAATGTGTAATTAAGTTTCGGAAAAAACGTCGTTTTTTTTTAACAAAAAGTTTTCTCGAAATTTTTCTTTGAAATCGGTCAAAACTGTTGTTTTGATTGTTACGAAAGAAAAATTTTTCACACAGAAAGAACGAAGAGCAAAGAATCTGCCGCGAGATATCGGTAATGCACGGTAAAATAACGAGACACCCTGTATGCATGTTTCTTTATTTTGCTTTTAGAAGGGACATCGCGATAATGCGCGGAATCTCCAAGTGCGCCACGTATTTCATACCGGAACTGCATTGGCTCAGCCTCGCGGATTGCATCGACGAATTCGCGCGCATAATGGAAAACCAAGTAACTAACTTCGCACAAACGCGCGCGCGCGTTCCCACGCGCTCTCGCGCACGCTCCTTTCTTCTCATTGCGTAACGAGAAAAAAAAAAAAAAAAGAACAATCCCGAAGTCGCAACCGATTCGGTCGAATATTCGAGAACTTTGTTTTTTTTTTTTTTTCGCGGAAAGTGGACAAACTTATTATGCAAATTGCTTTGTATATGTAAATAGAATTGTTTAATTCCAACGAAATTGTGAGAACAAGATTGAGAAAATGTGCGATCGGAATTCGCGCGGAATTTCGGTTTAACAAATCTCTAAACTAATTGAAATTAAGAATATTAAATAATAAACACACATACACACACACACATAAGACTTAATATCTTAATCTGAAATTGTGTTATTGTCCGCAAAGATTGATATGCGAACGGAAGCCGTGAATCTCGGTAGATTTTCAACGAACTTTTCGAGAAGAAGAGACATTGTGTTTCCGCATCCTTACACGCACTTGACTCGTCGCGAGATACTCGTCGAGAGTTTCCACGAGGGTTCGCCGATATCCGATTACCTCGAGCACAACGACGTAGCTTTGCAGAGAAAACTCGCCAAGATTGGAATCGCGACGATTCTCAAAATGGTCGGTGGCAACTTGAACGCGCGAACGATAATTTTTTTTAAATTTTTTTATTAATTTTTTTCATAGAGAGAAACGAAGTAACTTTTTTTTTTATCTCTTGTGATTTTCCCCCCTTCGAGAAAACACGTGCGAATACACACCCGCAGGTATTTAGGGACAACTTGATTCACTGTGACTTGCATCCGGGCAACATTTTAGTCGAAAAAGCGGCCGTCTTGAGGAAGCCGGGCCTGTTCAACACCTTTCGACGGGTCATTACCCCCGATTACGTGGCGGACGATCCACGTTTGATCATTCTCGACTGTGGCCTAGTGGCATCGCTAAATGACCGTTGTCGACAAAATCTTCGGAATGTATTTCACTCGGTCCTAATGGGAAACGTAAGCTTTTCTTTATTTCTGCTCGTTCAACAACGTTTCCTTTGTTTGATAACGTTTTTTTTTTTTTTTTTTATTACTTCTTCTGTGTAATGTACCTTTGACCTTGTTCTGTTAGTAGAAAATGCCGATCAGAGAGAAAGCTCAACTGTTGCATTTAATGTAAAAAATTATTTTGTATCACATTTTTGTTTCTTTACTCAATGTGAGTCAATTATCGTCGGTAAAAAATGTATGTCAAAGAAATTAATTAGCACGTTCTCTGCCGAATTCTGATTTTGGCAGTTTTTTTGATTTTATCGATATATATAAAGTATTTCAATATATGGACCGTTTATTTTGAAAGTGGTCCATTTTTGAAAAAAATGAGATATCACGTAATTCATGCTTAATTTAATGTAAATTTTTTATGTATAACTAGTTTACGAAACAAAAGAAAATGGACTTACACCACTTTCAAAATAAACGGTCCATATATATAAAGTATATATATATATATATAATTCAATATATATATAAAGTATCAAATTGTCTATCCAAAAACAAACAATAAACAAAAAAAGTTCGCTAAACAATGTGCAAATTTAATGATCGAATTTATATATTGGTATCAGTTTGAAATATATATATATATATATATCTATATATTTCAAAATATATAATATATGTATATATATATATTTACAATTTGAATTTTAGAAAAATATATTTCGTAAAAATACATTTTGTGTTAGGGCGAATTGGCAGCGCAGCATATTTTGGAGCACAGTTCGTGCACGACTTCCGATTCGGACGGCTTTAAACGCTCGATGAGGAACATCTTGAGCGCTCAACGAAACTCGCTCAATGTTAGTAACGTGAAATTTGCTTTTCAACAAGTTCAAAGAGAATTGCTAAAAAGAACAATGTGTCGTGTATCGTGATTTTAATACACGATTCAAAATCGTTCTCAGTGTGTTTTGCGAAATTTCTAAGTTGCTTTTCAGTTTGACGTTTGCGTTTTTGCAAAACAAAAAAATAAAAATAAATAAAAAATAGACATAAAAAAAAAAACATACATCGACAAAAATTGAATTGCCTTAAATATCGTTTTCTGCTTAAACGTAATTAGCTTGTATGTAATAAATGTGCGCGCGCATATAACCGTCTCGAATATTCTCACAGGTAAACGTGAGTACCGTTTTGACGGAATTATTCTCCGCAATGGTTCGTCATCGAGTTAAGCAGGATGGAGCCTTTAGCAATGTGATTCTCAGCATGCTGGTGATCGAAGGTCTCGGCCGATGTCTCGATCCTAACATCGACATTTTTACGGAGATTCTGCCGTACATCGTCAGCAACGACTGCGCGCAACGACTGAAGTCGAAGATTCGAATCTTGTAAAAAATACACGCAATACACGTAATAAAATATTTATCGCATTATTATTATTATAATTACAATTATTATATATTTTATGTGTTGAGAATATTTTTTCTTTTTTTCTCTCTTTCATTTTTTTTGTTTTTTTTTCTCAACAAGACACCGATGTTCGAGGAGAACGGATACTAAAATTTTTCAATTATTGCAGCACGTGAGAGTGAATTCACACATTACGCGGTGAAATCAGTTTTAAATTGAGAAAGAAACTTCTCAGCTTGAATAACGCGATTTGCAAACAAAAGCAAAGAGCGGGGAAAATTCCATTCCGGTTTGAGACAAACAAAACGTCTAGACGGCGAAACGAAAATCCGAAAGACGTCGTAAAAGATATTTAAAAAAAATTTATCTAGAAAATAATTTCGACATGTGTAGTTGAGACTTCTTATACAGATAGATTTATTTGAGATATCTTTCTTTTTTTTTTTTTTATTTTTATTTACGCTATCCGAGTATCGCGCCCGTGTATATTCGCCATCGAATAAAATTGCGGCGAGCGGCTAGTTGTACGCGGTCGCTTCCTGGTTGGCTCCGACAAGATCTCTTCGGTGTGTGTTGCGATCGCATAAAGATACGCGCGCGCGAATTGTGTGTATAAATTTACCGCTCGATGGATAGAAGCTGGATTATTAATCGAAGTTGAAGTTCTTTTCTTTTTCAACACAAAGTCAAAAAGAAGTGAATACGTTATATATATATATATACTATAGCTATCAACATATCTGTTGCTGTTTAAAGAAACTGATAACCCGTAAATTCGACAAAATAATAATCATAAATTAGAGTACATAGAAAACAAAAAAATTATTTTTCTTCAGAAACTGATAATTCGTAAAAAATTATTTCACCCCGTTAAAAATTATTTTTCTTAAGAAACTGATAACCCGTAAATTCGACAAAATAATCAAATTAGAGTACATAGAAAGAAAAAATTAATTTTCTTAAGAAACTGATAACTCGTAAAAAATTATTTTACCCCTTTAAAAATTATTTTTCTTAAGAAACTGATAACCCGTAAATTCGACAAAATAAACAAATTAGAGTACATAGAAAAAAAAATTATTTTTCCAAAAACACATCGTCGTCACGATTCAAAAATATATTATTATTTTAGTTTTTATTGTTTTCACCTCTCTTTTCTTCATATTGTTTACTTTTATTTACAATGCTCGATCAATAACTTTTATCAAATCGACTCGCGATCGTATTGCGCGCAGTTGATTTTTACAAATGATTTCTAAAAATTTATATTGAAAAAAATTAAAACGATTTAAACGATTTCTCGCAAATACGCTTGTAACACAATTTTGTTATTGGATAGAACATCCTTGACCTTTTCGAAGATAAAGAGAAACAAATGAAGACGCGCACAAATATATATATATGCGTGCATGACGCGCCTATAGCAGACAATTAAAATTCCAAGCACACTCGCGTGGATAGAATCAAATAGAATTCATCGTCGCCAAATTAGAAAAACCGGTCGAAGATTCAGATTTAAGTTCGGTCCTATTAGATGACGACGATCATATGTAAAAAAAAAAAAAAGAAAGTAAACTAATCGTCTTTCCAGATAATTAACATAGACGTTTGCGATGCTAAAAACGACACTGCGCTTTGACCCTGTGGTTTATTTTTAGCAAAACTATCGTATATTTCGCAAACACATATACACATGGCAAAAAGTAACTGTAATCTTCGACGAGAAAACGTGACGAGTATTTCATTTCGACGGAAAAGAATATAAAAAAAAAATGTAATCCCTCTTTCTTCTCTTAACCACTCGCAAATCACGATGTGCAAAGAAAGAGGAATTATTAAGATAATAAATATTGTTTATATTTTGACGTAAAAAAAAACGCCGACTATCGCCGACTGTGTTCGTACAAATTATATATTGCGGCGTTATCTCGCGAACTTTCACGGAACGTTGGCTTCCTCGACTCAACCGTGCGGGACTTCTCTTTCGGGAGTCCCAAAAATCACAGAACAGAAAAGTCACGTTTTCACCGGTGAAACACGCACGGCGTGGTGGCACTTGGTTCGTGGTTTTATTTATGCGCGCGATTATTTCGCGCGCCGCAGAAGGAACAGATGTTTGCGCGCATATATACAGGGTGTGTCGGATCAACACCGGATATTCTTTTGACCGTGAACACACACACACGTATAAATACATAGTAATGAGAAAATTAAGGTAAAATGACGACATATACGCGTTATTCTCTCGAAACTCTTTCAAAATATCGATAATTATCGAGCGATTATTTGACGCTTACTTAATTTGCAATTCTATTTTAATAGCCTCTTATAAATTATGTTGCTGTTACACAGTTTGTCATACATATTTAAATGTAATTTTATTTTGCGTGCGTGTGTGCGTGTGCGCGCGCGCGCGTGTGTTGTGTACGCGCATATTCCGAGCCAAGCTTGAAGCCAATCGCAAGGCGGGAGAGCCTTATGTGACCTTGAGAGAGCGATGTCGTTAACAATCTAGGGAACTGGGCGAACCTTTGAAGTAATTAGTCTTCCTTATATGCGCGTATATGGACTCTCTCCGCACGGAGGGGAGAGGGGGCGAACCGAGTTGTTTCTCTTGTCTCTTCGTGAGAATATCGCAGTGGAGAACGAATTTTTCGAAAATTAAACATTTTTTTCGAGAAAACGAAAGGCTGAGAGTTTTTGACAAGAGTCACAATCAGCGCGAGCGGTGACTATAACAGCGGGTACACCGATCGCGGGTACAACTCAAGTGAGTTCGAAAGGGAGTGACGCTGCGGTTCCTCGCGAGAGAAATATCTCGCTGTGCTACACCGAAAAAATTGTATTCTTGTTTTGAGGATATCCCACTTACTTTAAGTATAATTTATACTAAAATAGGCGCCAAGAAGAGTTTCTTATTTTAAGAGGAAAATCCTCTAAATAGTAATATTGATAAGAATACTGATTAGAATATAAAAAGCCTCTATAGAAAAACATATATATATCTCACTATCGAAAAAGACTTTATATATTCTTAAATTAAGAATGTATTCTTAAATAAAGAATATATTCTTAATTTCAGAAGAATATCATCTAAAATCTTTAAGAAGATTTTTTACACCGAAAAAATTATATTCTTATAAGTAGAAGATTTTATACTTAAAAAATCTTCTTAAAGATTTTAGATGATATTCTTCTGAAATTAAGAATATATTTCTTTATTTAAGAATATAGTCTTTTTTTCGATAGTGAGATATATATGTTTTTCTATAGAGGCTTTTTATATTCTAATCAGTATATATTCTTATCAATATTACTATTTGGAGGATTTTCCTCTTAAAATAAGAAACT